AAAGTTTCACGGATTTACTGTGGTCACTATTATCATTTGTATGACTTACTGCTATCAATCAGCTGGAGACAATCATTAGTAACCAGAAGAGTCTCGTCGACATTATGAACATCGTCGCTCAACACTTCGTAGTTTTCCTGATAGAGATATAAACAAAGAAATTAGGTTAACTTGAAATTAATAATTTGACATGCTTCGCTACAAATACGGTGTTGATAGTCCTTTAAAAAAGACCTTTTTTGGCTTGGGCGTAATGCTTGCCCATTTTAGGCCAGGTGTCATCCTCTTGAAAATAAGATTATTTGTTTGACTTGTATCCAAATTTATTTGTCTTCTCATGYGCAGCCGTTAAACAAAGAAGTGATACTAGTGAATGTAATGCCACTTGTTCTGAAATGGGTAGTCTATATAAACCATCATCTCAGTCTGATGTACTCTGTTTTCACTTATTACCTTCAGTGTCGTGGCTAATTTTTTCTTCATGGCACCTGTTCTTCTAATCCATTTTCTGTATGCACACTTTTTGCAGATATTTTTCAGCTCTTTCAAGGTCACTTCTAGTTTGGCCATCTAAAGTAAACGAAAACAAAAATATATGTAGAATATAGGATAAAGCAATGATTTGGAAAGAGCCTAAATAAATCGTCTTTTTTGCACTTCAATGATAGCCCATGTTTCCRAAATGGAGCTAGTTCTTATATCCATAGAAGCTGTTTTTATAGGCTACTCTTTCTCACCTTACTATCATCAACTTGCTGTAAAATAGAAGCATTCGATTCGTTCAGCTCAGTTTCTTGCCGATCCATTGTTTCTTTAAGTCTGTTTAAAATACATATATTAATTTTATGAAATAAAAACACTTACATTAGTAAAGAAATCACCTTTACCRCATACAGTCGATCCTATAAATGTAGTATCTTATTTTAAAATACGACCGTTACTTCACCTGCTTCACATTGATATTTTCTAACACAAAATAAACTCGGCCCTCTACAGACATATTTCCCTATGAACTTTCCCTGTAGCAAAGCAACGACTTACTTTTCCAGTTCTTTTTGAATGTTAGTACAGATATCTCCATAGCTGATCGCCTGTGGCTTTTTCACCAAAGAGAGTTGGATGAACTCTTTTTCTTCCTTGGGCTTCTCCGTCTGAAACAAACCATGATTGTCAATGCATTGTTACCGATAAAACTAATGTACTAAATGATGCCTTTATCACTGGCATCAATTCAATAACGTAATAAGAAACCCCAACGTTTAATGACATACCTTCCTCATAAATGCAATTGTACTTCGACGTGAGATCTGCTCAATGTTTTGAAAGGAGATATTTGCACGAGAAAGAAGTTCAGAAACGGTCATGCTTTTCCTGAGAAAAGAAAAGAATAAGGATAAATATAAAATAAAAACTAAGCGGAATTGCCACTCCATGAGGGAAAGCCTACCAAGCTTTGCAACTCACTTGTTAAGGCTACCGATAGATGGAATAAGAATTTAGAAAATAAATGGGAAGCACAAAACAGCGCACACTGCATGAAACTTGTAACTGAGTACATTTAAGCCTGTTGTCGTACTCTAGCCACATGAAAGCTGCRGTAGCTTCTTGGAGCATGGGACACAAGTGACAAATTTCCATCTCAGCCAATAATAGAATACAACGTATCGCACCCAATCATAATGTGGTGTTGGATAGTATGAATTGCCATCTGGTGGCCGCTCCACACTTTGTTTGCAGATTTTCATTTTTYCCCCATCTCTATGGATTTCTGCTAGTGTTTGACTTTTCACCCCCTGGACATATAGTTAATATTAGAAAGATCTCAGGATTATCACAGTTCRGTTCCCTAGAAATTCTTGAGACGGTCCACAACCAGGAAGGTGGAATCAGGGGAAGTTAGGAAAGAATGTCTAACCCCCAGGATTTCCTAAGCCAACTTTCAACCAGAAGGGTAGAATCAGAAAGAAAATAGAATGAAAAGAGTTTCTATTATAAACTGATTACAATGTTTCTTAGTTAAAGCTTTGACTCTCCCTTCCCACAGTGAAATATTTTATTTATGATATTATTGTAGTATGTTCAAGCACAACTTTACATGACTTACTGCTTTACTGATGTCTCTTGCTTGCCAGTCATGAGTGTATGACCAGCTACTTTGCTGCTATTAACTTCATTCTCCTCACAAATGACAGAGAGGTTTTTTGCCTGTTGCTTAGCAACTTGTTGGGATTGATCATGGCTTTCTGTGTGAGACGAAATGTTATCATCACATGGTGTAGGCACCTCCTCTTCTCCTTCCTGATGACTTGTGTCATTCAATGCAGTCAAACCTACTGATRTAGCACTTTGATCAGTGAAGTACATTTCTAGCGTTGGTTCGTCCATTAGACCATTGATTACAGACTCATCTTTGGTCTGGTTATCACCTGATGACCCAGCCATGGAACAAATAGGATCCTTGAATGTTATAGTTGCATCATCACCTTGATTACAGGGCTGTACTGTTTCTGTAGCATTATMTGGTTTTAATGAATCTTTAGGACTGTTATCTTCCTGGTTTACATCAGATGAACTAGCAAATGTTTGCTCTTCTGTGTTGTATTTTGTTTGTGATAAGCCTTGGAAGCCATCTAGGTGATCTATATGTATCATCTTTCTCTTCATGGCTGGTTGGGAACAAAACTTGCTAATTGGCACATTAGACACAGGTGCAAAGGTTGCATGAGGGATGTTCTTATTTCCTGGACCATCATATTCCATCAGAGATTTTGATAAGGTTGGCAGTGACCTTAGGAATGTTGCCTGGGATTTCTTTTGATCTACGATAGGCATACTTCGGTTTAACCAGCTTTGAATTGAACTTCCAAGTTTTTTGTTACCACTGCTGTGTGAGTCAATCCTTTGGAAATGATCATGATGAATTTCAAGTTGTTTTTTCTTTTCTCTTGGGGTCTCAGACTGGAGGCTTGAATCAATACTAGATGAGCTTTGTCTTTTTCTGCTGTCTGTTTGATACACAAGTAAGGGTGCAGGTTTCAAACAGGAGTCATTCTCTGTATCATTGGAAACATGACCTTTGTTACCAGAGGTTGGGTGTTCGTCTTGAGCAGAAAGCTGCAATTTTTCATTTGGAATAGTCATCTCTATTCCTTCTSGTTCTTCCTTGCTACTTTTGTTTAGAATAAGATCTTCATCTGTGACAAT